TAGAAAAACTCATATATCTTGTTGGCACTCAAATACAAATTAAACTATACTCAGCCCTAGTATTATGGTTGTAATAAGGGACACACAACTTTATTTATTTTGTCCAAACATGGTTAATGTATGGACTTCAATGTGTTGACTTCTATTCTATAATGTGTCCCTGATTCCGGTACATATTGTTATTTTAGTAATCACTTACTCAGTGGCATTTATCCTTTTAAATCAGGGAGATTATTTAAATGTACGCAAATGGGTAGTTCTATAGATAGTCTACCTGGGATTATTTCATGAGTTATGAGAGCAAAAGCAGGAGGTGGGTATATTTTGCAACAACATACCACCTCCTCCAGTTTCCTGCTTTGTAGGCCGGCTGTTTGCCAAAGCAAAGGTCACGTTAAAACCTTGCATATGTTGTGAGGATCACCCTGTGTCTGCCATGAGATTTATTGACCCCCTCTCTCTTCTTGGCATTTTTAGAGAGTCTTCGTGGACGAGTGCAAGTTCAAGGAGACGTTGCTGCCCAACAACTACAACGCCTATGAGTCTTTTGTTTACAAGGGCTTCTACATCGCCCTCAGCAAGCATGGCCGCGCAAAGAGAGGCAACAAGGCCACCACCGCCATGACCGTCACACATTTCCTCCCGCGACTATGAGAGACACTGGCAATAACTCAATAATTTGCACATGTGGATGTTCTTCCAGGTAATAAGAAATGCATAGTCATGATATACACACACTGATGGACTGCGAAAGATAACACATATATTTATTCTGTTTATATATATCTGTATATTTGGATAGCTATCTTTGTATATGTACTGTGCTGCTTATTGTTTTTATGGACGGGGAGAGTTGAAGCCTTTGCCTGTCTCACTTTACCTTGGTGCTTGCTGTAACTGAAGTACGTGTCACTTCCTTTTTGGAGATGGAGGATGAGCTATATCCTGTGCTTTTAAAGAGTGAAATGAATACTTTTTATTACCTCAAAGAACCACTTTACTAGATTAAGGGATGCATGGAGTTCTGCTCAAATATCTGCTAAGTTTATGATTTCTTTCAAACCTTTTGAGCGCTTGATGGCTCCCTGCTCGATTATTGATGGCCGGCAGAGGGAGAAACTTAAATGCACTACCTTTGCTGCACGATTTAAAGGTGCCTTGGTGTTCCCACTTGTGGCCCCCTTAAACTTGCATGTAAGAGACACCCGCCGGAGTCAGAAATAGGGCTGACACTCCGGAGAGGGCCTCAGAAGGGGCGGGGGGAGGTTGACTATCTCTGGTTTATTTTCTTTTCTGTAATTAGATCGATTAAGTAATCTACAGTCTGTGGTTGATACCAGAGAGCGGTCAGCCATGGAGAGTGGCACCAGGCCATAAGTTTGACTGTGTGGCATTGCCAGCTAATAAACAGGGTGGAATACATATCTATCCAAGCATGGAGGACATTTTTGTGTGGACCTGGCTTGCACAAGAATAGACTGAAATGGTAAATTGCAAGCACACAGTAGAACTGTACCTGCACATTGTCCTGAACTGAGCTCCTACAGTAAAGCGGGTTGCTGTTTTTTGAATCGCAAAGCTTAAGCTGCTGCTGAAAATGATGTCTAATGTCCATGAAACCAATGAAAAACAATGTAAATAGTTGCTAGTGAAAAAGAAGAATTCAGGAGCTTTTTGACGCTGCTTGTGTCGCAGTTGCCTGAACGAGGCAAAAAGAGTTCAGGTTGCACAGTTAGCCATCGATGATGGTGCCTGAATGTTTCGGTGAGAATCCTTCCCTCGTTTGTTTCTTTGAATTGATCTCTGTGTGTGCGTGCCCTGGGCCATTTCCCAATTCACTTGACTGTGTGCTCTGCAGCAGCACTGCAGTGGCAGCGAGGTGTTTGGAGCTGGAGGCAGACAGTTTAAATTCAATTATGGATGAGTCAATCGTGTCTCCTCCGAAGGACTAAAGGACAGTGCAGTGGATGCACGCTAAAAGAAAAGTCATAATTTATATTTTTTGTTTGATTTTATAAATACGAGGCATAAAACATGTTCATAGAAGCGCCTGTTCATATATAAAGGGTATTATTTATTTAAGTATTGGTATGCAAGCTGGCATTTTGTTTAAAGCTCAATATGTATCATGTTTATTGCCATCACAGTTTACATGTTCCAAGGGGTCTTTTCTTTCTTCTCTCACTTTCAGAGAATCTTAAAGTGTGCATCCACGCCTGACTTTCTGCAGCTGTTGACTTGAAAACCTGAATTTGCTGCTTCCATCTGTTCTTGTGTTCAGAGAGGAAGCAGGACTATTTAAATCCAGGAAAGACGAATGTGCGGGTGCCGGCCCGCTGTCTTTGTTGTTCGTTAAACTTCCTGCAGGAATGTGGATCTGCCAGGATGACAGGCCTCCTCCCACATACCTGAGCGCCCCCTCCCCTCTCTGAGCTCTGTCACTCCGCACCACCCACCTCTGCTCGTCCCTTACCCCCTCACCCACTGCGGACAGGGACCTTGGGATTCCAGCTGTAACCCAGGAGCTTCCTCCTCTCCTTTCAGCCTTTTTTAGTTCAAGGTCAGAGTCATGGACCAGCCTTGGCCCCAACCCCAGTGGCCGGGGGTGTTCGGCTATATGGGTCGTACTGTTTCCATGAAATAGGAATTTGAAGTATCCTTTTCACGCAGGAAACACTTTATTTTTAATTGATTGAAGTAATACAGAAGAGTTGCTCTTCCACTAACCATGGATATATCCTACAGTTCTTCTGAAACAACCCTTCTTGATTTATAGAGCCCCGCCTCTTTAAAATGCAGCTCCACCACATGCTGCCCCCTCCCCTTTTCTTGGTACTTTTGTCAGAGTATTTTTGGGATGGGGACATCTGCAGAGTTAATGCAGTGTGTGAGCAGCAGGCAGAGAGCAGAGTCATGCAGGACCTCACCTCTCCTGCTGCAGGACGGCCCCCCCCCAGCCATCCTCAGGGCGTGCCCTCTGCTGCTGACTCCCTTCATCCCCAGAATCACCTGCTGCTCAACTGTCTATGACGCACAGATCAATTCATAACAGTATTTTTCTAACAGATACATCTCTTTTTGTTCTGAGGACTTTTTTTGTGCTAATGGCAAGGCTACCGAGAGGCAGATTTATCAGGAGCCTTCTTAAAAAAACAAACTTGTTGCTGCTGTAGATGAGGCTGCATGAAATACCACGGATAGATATTTCTTGCTGGAAGTAAATTGTCGTTATTGACTGGAGTAGGAAGACAAAAAACAATATGTGTGTCAGCATTGTCAGAGGAAGCTGTGGAAGTGAACTTTGCGCATGCACAGCAATGAGCACTTCTCTGGCCGCATCACAATCAAGGATGTCTGACATCTGTAGCAGCACCTTACTTGAGTACATACGGTAAAGAGTTTTCTCACATTTTTCTGTCAAGAAATAGAGCTGGATCCCTAGAAGAGTGAACGTCTGTGTCTAAAACAAAAAGCTCACATTTCAGCTTTGACCAAAAAATGTTATCAAGATTTCTCTGTCGTCTTTTTTTCTTTTTCCACAGCTAATCATAGATCAAATTTGAATTAAAGAGGAGGTATATCTTTTTTAATTGATGTTAAATGTACTATAAGCATGCCCGAGCCCCAAACTTAAATAGGGGTGTGTGCTTCATGTGTTTTCTTTAAACTCCTGCTCTAAAAGGGAGTCTCCACTCTATTCCTCTCATCTCTGTTCTCATATACCTCACCCTCTGCCTTAGTTTTGGTTTGCTGATGACTGTAAATTAAGAGGAAACAAACTTCATTTATTTGTTTCTGAAAACAGACAATGCTAAGTAAGGATATTAAAGTTTTTCCTTTTATTTTTGTACGTATGTGCTGTGCACAGCAGTCTACTGTATTCCTGAGATAACAATAAAAGTTTTTTTTTTAACTGGTTGCTGGTAAACTGTCGTTTTCTCCCTTGGATCAGTTGAACTGTGGTCTAACCGTGTATTTATGAGTGGTGGAGGAAGTACTCAGATATATTGCTTGAGTAAAAGTAGCACAGTATAGAAATACTTAAGAGTAAATATACAAAAGTTAGATATCTATTAGTTTAACTGTATAGCCCATTTACCTGTGGGAAAGATAAAGGTTTTTTAAGTTTTGTTTTGATTGAAGTGCATTGGGAGTTTAAGTCCTCAGTTAAAAATAACTTTCTATTTTTGAGAGAAGCTGTTGAAAACAAGATCAGGAGTATTCAGTATACTGATATAAAGTTTAATGTGTCCTATGCTGAAACTACAGCATCCAAAAATAGTTAAGTCAGTCAAATGTAACTCCCAGAGTCTCAAAGTAAAAGCTGTACTGGTTAAGGGAGTGACTCCCTCTGCTGGTGGAATGGTGTACATGTTGAGGCAGGTGCGTAAAAGCAGAAAACTGAACTTCACAATATAACTAAACGACCAGTAAACGAAACTGTTTGTCTTTTTAAATATAATACTCGAAAAATGTGTAATTCATCAAGAATACTGGGGTTTGCACCAATTGGATACCTGAATCTGAGCTATACACATCTAACTAACATTATATTTTATTCCTTAATAAAGAAAACCTTTTTTCTGCATTAATGTCATTCCTTTAAAAAAATGTTTATTCTTTCTTGCACTTTGTTTTTATTCTTTCTTGTTTACACTGCCCAATGCACAATGTTTCCAGTCTTAACAAAAAAACTACAGCCAATGGACAATTATGAAATATTCTTAGAATAAGGATTAAGGTGGATGAGTCAAGACGTGTCACCAAAAATAAGAGTCCAGTCTGACCAAGAGCATCGGGATAAACAGAGGTGGAAGTGGCCCTTCCGCTGCAGCACACCCGCACATCTGCTTTGGGGGCGAGTTTCTTTTTTTTTTACGCAAAGGATGTGAGCAGGGGTGGCACTCGGTGGGCTTTAAATAGGAACTGTCTCCAAACTTTGGGACAACAGAGCATCTGAAAACTTCCAGCAGTCGCAGTGGAAAGCGCCAGTTTGCAGGATGGACGTCAACAGGAGACTTGGGATAAAGGATGCTGTGCTTGCGCTTTTACTCGCCGTACTCCAGGGATTTCCTCTCGGGGAAACTGCCCCGAATCCTTCACCGTTGGTTGGATCCAACTGGGGGAACCCGAGGAGATATATCCACCTGCAGACATCCACAGAGCTCAACAACTTCTACTTGGAGATCAGATTGGATGGCACTGTACGCAGGACTACAGTGAGGAGCTCATATAGTAAGTCCCAGTATTTCTATTTTCTTTGCAATGAGGCAATATGAAGTTCTGTCTGTAAAAGCTGATACTCACTAACTTTTACTTCCTGCAGGTGTGATTTTACTGAAATCTGAGACCAGAGAGCGCATTGCCATCTTTGGCGTCAAAAGTAGTCGTTACTTGTGTATGGATCTGGAGGGCAACCCATTCAGCTCGGTAAGACGAATATGACTTTCACTTTAATGTCTGTTAAAAATCAACCTTCTATACTAAATATGTATTAAATATTTCTAACTTTTGAGGTTTCACACATCGTTTTTAACATCGCTTATTAGGAGTTTAATTTTACGCACAAACGTATACTGCAACTATAGAATATTTTACGATCAAATAATTTGATTATTTTTGATAAGCCTCTTTTGATCCAAGTATTGTTATGTTTCATTAAATCGATCATATAAACGTTTTGGTTAATACTTGGTAACATTGTTAGGTTTAGGCATCTTTTTCAACACTTCTTGCTCTGCAGTTACGCACCATTTTTACCATTTACGCATGGGTTTATTCATTGGATTTCTTCTGCTATGAAGATTTAAAGCAGCCTACCGAACAAACAGAGAGGATACTCAATGGATTTGAAAATAATTGCATCCCTAATGATTTTCAAAACTTCTATGTGCCACGTTTTTTTGGCCGAAATATTGTATTATATATGGCTGAACTAGCCAATCGAGTTAAGTAATAGTACAGTAAAGTTAAATAGAGTAGCCAAATTCGGAGACTTTACTGAATCAAACAGATCCCATGAACTGACAAAACTGTCCGTATTATCTTGCATTTATTAAAAATAACATATGCCTTCGCTGTTTCATGTTCTCCCTCTCTGCTCCTGTCTTACAGCCCACTTGCCTCAGGGACGACTGTCTGTTCAACCACAGGATTCTGGAGAACAACCGGGATGTGTACTTCTCCAGCCGGACCGGCATCCTCTTCAACCTGGAGGGCTCCCGGCAGGTGTTCGCGGCGGGGCAGAACCTCCCGCAGACCGCCCTCTTCCTGCCCAAGATGAACACGGTGCCGCTGGAGCGCCTGCTGCTGCACCGGGAGAAGAGGAACCAGGTGGTGGACCCCTCCGACCCGCACAACGTCTACTTCGTTCAGACCGAGGAGGGCTCGGACTCTCGGGCAGTTCCGGAGGAGGACGCAGATCTAGAGGTGGAGTTGGAGTTGGAGGTGGAGGTGGAGGTGGAGGTGGAAGTCGGAGATGATGGGCGCAACGTGTCCCGGGAGACTCCGCTGGCTCCATCCACCCATGACCCCTGGAACGTGCACTCGTCCAACCCGGCCAGCCCTCGCAGCACCGGGATCATGGGCTGACTTTTGTGGTGACTGACATGGATATGTTTACCAAGTTAGACCAAGTTGCAAAACAGTAGACTTGACTTGCAGCCCCTTTTTGCACAACAATTTGAGATCACAGAAGAACAACAAGTTCAATCTATAATAAGGTGTTTTACATTGATTCATTTCATAAATAATTAGTTTTTTGTACATCCACACAAGCAAAATTATAAAACAAATATTGCTTCATTTTACAACTGAGAAACGAAATCTTATTTTTGTGCCAAGATCCAAAATCCTTTCCCATCCAGAGCCATTACAGTAAGCACTCTCTAATGGAGCTATAGCCAAGATGACACTTTGTCGTAAAAATGTATTGGAATTTCATAAATAGTTTGGCTGGCCTTAAGACGATTTATTTTAGCGTGGATCTAATAGGTTACCAAAGCAAACTTATAATTTAATAATCACAGTCAGCATGCATACTGGTTTTTTAAAGACTCTTTTCAAAAGGTTTTTACAGCTGGTCTGAGCACACTTGGCAGTGACATGATGTTATATCAAGACAGGAGCCTATCATAGCCCACCTCTGGAGGACTGAAGGCCCTGTCTACTGAGGCATGATTTTAAATCAAAAATATATACATTAATATACATAAGAGTTTAATTGACTAGAGTTAATGTCAAGTTTTGCCTTTATTTTAAAGTCTTACGTTTACTGAGTTGGACAAGACATAGGAGATTTGATGTTTGTATGTTGTCAGATTTGAACTTAAACAGCAATTCCAGCATCTTTTTAAACTACAGACAACTACAGTACTTGTTTTGTAAATGTTTCTGTATTTGTACAATCTAATTCATGACTTGAACGGATATTACGACAGGGTAAACATCCTTTACAGAGCATTCATCTTGAAGCACACCTAAACTCCTGCTGTGTGATTTTTACAGGTGCTGGGCACCACCGGCAAACACTTAAATCAGTCCCAAAGAGTATTTATTTATTTAATTCCATTCCTTTATTGTTATTTATGGTATTTATGAGGATGCTTTACAATTGAAATGTACATACAAGAAAACATGGTTTGTCTTTGAATGTATGGGTTAGAGTTGTGGATGTAGTGTTTTGGACAAAATAAACTAAAGGAAACATGTATGGTGTTGTGTGTTGTTTAAGCAAATGTATAAGGATGTGTCTTAGTGTTCTAATTTGGCAAAAACCTGTGCTGTCGGACAGGAAGTCATGAATGAGTAAGCAGGTTTAACATTGAGCCAGTTACTCAGCAGTTCCACTCATTATAGCTGGAAATCCTGCACTTCAATTAGCATACAGGTACATGAGTGAGTTCACTCTAAAAATACTCTGTGACGATCTTACTCTCTTTTTAACTTGTTACCCATTAACTAGGATAACAAAGTGGTTTCAATCCTGTCATCTGGCACTAACTATATAGCTGCAGCATATTTGAAGCTCTTTCAGAATACACATCTGTAATGAACGTTAAAGTTCATCATGGTGACTCCAGTAAAGCGGTGGCTTTTTCCAGTCTATAAAGATGAGAAAACGGACTAAATCAGCTGTTTAAAGATACGATTGAAGCCACTAGGCATTTTCTCCTCTCAGTGGTGGAAGATTATCCATTTCTATCCGAGTACAAGTAGTAATAGGCTACCACAAAGTGAAAATACTGCATTCAAAAGTACAAACGTAAAAGTAGTCATATTGCAGAATGACCTAATTCATATCATTATATATCCTATTATTGACTTAGTTGGAGCTCGTTTTTTTTTACCACTGGTAGGTGAAATGGTTCATTCCTTATATGATGTAATAAGAATAAGAGCTACCTTTATCAGCTGCAACATTAAAGTGATGTAAACATGATATCACACATTATAATCCAGTAATACATGATTTTGAAAAAGGCCATTCTGTATCATGGGGACTTTTGCAGTTGGTAATTAAAGTAAACTGGTTCAAATGTATTTATTCTTTTACAGACTTTGAATGCAGGACCTTTACTTTAGTATTAAACACTCATATTGTACTATTTTAACTTAAATAACATATCTGAATTCTTCTTCCACCACTGACAATAATAATGAAAAAGCAATCTAGAAAGAGTCCACTTTCCTCTATTTCATCTTATATTCTGTAATGCATTAGTTGTTCCTTTAGGTTTATTTCAAGTCTTCAGTTTTAAGATGTTAGCTTTTGGTATTAGCATAAATAGATTGGATTTTGTTTGAAATATTGAGGCCATGACCGACAGCGAAGCACAAGCATTCAGAGGGGATCAAAAAGGGACTCTAAAAATAGAAAGACTAAAAACAACCATTGAACGACAAAGAGCTGGACGGATTTCATATATTTTAGTGATATGTGCATCCTGTATTATTTATCAGACTCGACAAAGATTCAGGTTTGTCATGTTGTATTGCACAAGTGAAATGAGCAGCAGCATTACAAGATACGCATCACATTTAAAAATGCCACGCATACGGAGTGTTCAAACTTACATTAAATAGTTCTGACTTTGGTATAACATGATACAAGAGGCAATAAAGTTATATTGAGTACTTAAATTCTCACTGGCCTCACTTGGGAGGATGAAGGAACAGTTTGACAATACAGTACTGGACACTTATTGTTGATTCTAAGTAAAACGTTATATATATATATATATATACACATTAATGAGAACACATTATTTCTCAGTGTGCATTGCTTGAAGTATTTCCCTGTTTTTTCGGTTTAGTGTTCATGATTCATGATTGTTCCCATCATAGACTGTGTACATCTGCACACCAATACGCCAACGCCGTACAAAAAACTTTTATCCCATCTCTTTCCCTCCACACTTTTCAGCAGCTGTGAGGTTCCCCAGGTGCTCCTTCCTGTTGGTGAAGCAGCAGCGAGCAGCAGAGAGGACGGGGCCCGACTCGGAGGGGCTCAGGGTGAAAACGAAGCGACTGATGCCCGTGTTTGGACATGGAGAAAACACCTGGGACATCTTGGCCCCTGCAGGCAGAGAGCTCTTTAAGTCCTCCAGGAGGTGCTTGATGGCCACACGGATGTAAGCTCCGTGGCTCACGACCAGAGCGTGGACCGACGCTTCCTGGAGCCCGTCCTCAGCCGAGCCACCAGGAGCCCGCTCCGAGGCAGCAGCTGCCGTCCCGTTTGCAGCCTCAGGTGCTCCCGCCCTGCCGTGTTCATCCGATAATTGCTGGAAAAGGGCTTTGAGGAACTTTTTGAATCGTAGCTTCACCTGGAATCAAGGTGAAAGTCAGCCTGTTCTTTTTGCAATCTGTCAGCTACACTTTTTCCTTAAACAAAATTCACTTTATAGCTGAAATGGTTTGTTGCTTTATCAGTTACTTGATTGACAAGTCATCAGCAACTGCTTTGATAGGAATTGTTGTCTTCTTTTTGCAGCTTGTCAAATGTAAGGATTTGCAGGTAATTTATTTTACCATCATTCTAAACAGTTTTTTTTAACCTTTGGCCAGACAAAACAAGACATTTGTGGCAATCTTTCAATATTTATTGACATTTATAGAAAGAAAAATGTTTAAGTGCAATAATTCAACATGTAGAACTGCAGCAACTGCACGTTCATTGGTTACAACATGCACTGGTATATATAATGTGTATACATCATCAAATAAAGAACCATGGAAAAATGCAGGTATTTAAGAAGAGTAGTCAAACATCATTACTCACACCAAATTACCCACATTTTATTCATAGTTTTAAAACATCCTTAAACCTATCCTTTTAAACTACCCTACATTTTGCACATTATCTGGCCACAACTCAGTTTAATCGCAATACTATAAATGGACTCTACATGGCGCTGTTGCACAAGTAATACTCTCTTGGCCTTGAGTTTCACAGAGACTGTTTTCAACTTTTGACCACTACTATATCATCAGTTCCCAAATACTGACTGTGTGTGACTCACCTGGTCCAAAGTCTCTCCTCCTGGGGGGGTGTAGTCACGACAGGACTGGCCGGCAGTGTTTGCCATGTTCTTCAGATGCTCTTTGGGGTGTCCTTCAGCAACACCAAAACCCTGAATTAACCAGACAACCATACTCTTAGAACTCACCAAATAAACTGCTGTAGTACTGCATTATTATTATATATATTTGGAAAAAGTATACAGCCAATGGATCTCACCCTCTCTCTGAGTAATGGATCCAAAACCATCTCCGTGCCAGAACAATGAGTGTTGTTCCTCCTAATTATTTCAGCCGTCTGAGGGAAGCAGTTATCGTCAATGACTGACTCAATACATTTGTAACCACCCAAAGAAGCAGTCTTGGACAGACTGAAAAATCATGAATACACTGTCAACATCAGTGAGTCAGATACCACAGAGACATGAGTGGTCACACAGCTATGTCATATCCATGCATCCCGTTTTCCTTCTTTTGCTTCACTTTTCTGGGGAAACGATTGTTCATTTTACTGGTGGAACAAAATGATTTGCTAATAATGGAAAATAAGCTACAGATATTTATGGGTAAAGAGATTACTAAGCTAAGACAGGAAAGATTTGAAAGACATACGAAAGAAACCCTAAAAGAATGTACTTTTATTTGTAAGTTAATTATTAGTGTGTCTATTATGAGGTATTCTAATGGGTACCAAACACATTTTCTACATGTTTAAACTCACAAACATTCAAGGATGGATTAACTAATGTCCTATGAAAGAATGAAGATCAGGCCCTCAAAGTCTGTACTTTTTCTTCCACTGTCACTTCACCTGTGTGTGATATGTATTTGAATGGCCAGGTAACTTTCTAATTGAATGAGTGTGACTTACATGTATGGCTCGTTGTAGGTTACTGGAAAAGACATAGTTGAATGCGATGTCTCGGAGGTATTTTCCTACGGCCTCAGCCTGCTGCACACCTGTTTCTGACAGAGGTGTGTCCACGCCTTGACCTAAAGAAAACAGAGCTTTTAGTTTCTGCAGTAATACTCCTTACAGTGCAAAAAAGTGTTAAGACTATTAAAGAGGGAGTTTTCTGCAACACGTAAGACTATATCTAATGTTATAAAACACACATGTTGGACCAGAGCTGTGTCATTGATAGCCAGCTACATGCTGTATTTATGGGAGTGACAATCGTCTCTACCTTGAAATCGGGGGACAAACCCACAACTACTGTATTCTGTAGAAAAATGTCTTGTTTAAGATAGTTGAAAACATTTGTCATTTGGGATGGTTTGATGCTGTATTTGAAAGCAGCAGTGGATAGCCAATGGCCTTAACATTTTAAAAAGGACCTAGGTAAATCTCTTTTAATTTACTTAGCATTATTACAGGTCCAGTGTGTAGTATTTAAGGGGATCTATTAGCACAAATACAATATTCATGTTTTCATTCATAATCACCTGAAACTAAGACTTGTTGTGTTTTTGTCAGCTTAGAATGACCCCTTCATATCCTGTTGACTACTGCCATGTTTTACGGTAGCCTAGAATGGACAAACCGAACACAGCTCTGTGGAGGGTTTTTCCTCTTTTTTTGCTTACCAAAATTAAAAAATCGGTGCTAGTCGAGGGCCGGACTGGTTCAATGTTTATTGCAAAACTTATTGCACATATTAAACCTGGAACTAACAAAGCTTAAATTATTGCCTATAAAAACAACATTAAACATTAAATAATCAGTTGCATTCATTTCTTATGGCTCTATCTGCAGCTTTTCCTCAGTCATTTCTTATGATTACATTTTTCCACAGGCCAACAACAGCTTCAAAAAAACAATTCCCCTCAAAGAAAAAACCAAACATGCCCTGTTGTCGCAAGAAAAAAAGTGCAGAAGGAAACATCCATTGAAACTCAGTTTGCTGCTCTGTGATGCTAGTTCAAGCCAGATACTTGGCATCTCATCTTGGGTGCAACTTCATCAATGTTTGGGGTCAGGCTCTGAGCTGAGGAGATCCTCAGGATTGAGTGAAGGTGTGCGTGCAATATACCGGCGGGCCAGATCTAATAGTAATTAGAAATTATCTTGCGGGCCGAGATTTAACCAACCAAGGGCCTGATTTGGCCCCCGGGCCTTGAGTTTGACAAGTGTGTGCAGTTATTCAACAGGCTTGTCTTAAGGGTGGGGTCAGGGCAGAGGTATTCAGGTGGTTGCAACACACTGACACTTTGAGACCAGGTTTCATATCCTGACAATGTCCGCCTACGTAGCAATATAAACATAGCTGTGCAAGGCCCTCAGTAGGTTAAATGGTTGTCTAATGGGGCAGATGTTATTCAAATGTTTTTGTTGTAAATCCATGCTGCTCATTTCTATACAGGTACTTACCTTGCAGCAGCTTCTCCTTGTTGTACTGTGTTTCCCCACTGTGAGAAATAAAAGCAATGTCCTTGAATTAGCTCAGCCATATCCACGTAGGCCTGCTTCAAAGCTGACAACAAAGCTTAAGCTATAGCATGGTTAAAACGATTAAAATGTTCTTGTTTTGTTTCTGTCATTTTTGACAACAGACATATAGCCACCATGCTAAGTTACACAACTGACAGGACTAACTTTTTATGCAGAATAATGTCACATTTACAATTAATTCATGTCACAGTCGTGGTGTAAAAAAGTGGTGTGAAAATAATCACTTACTGTCGCACGAGGGTTAAACTGAGTGTAAACATCTTCAACGCACTTGCTGTTACATCCGGGTTAGTTCACCGGCAAATATGTGACGTAATCTTCTTGTTCTTCTTCTTTGCGTCTATTGACAGTTCGCTACACATACTTTAAGGAGCACACCGCCACCTAGTGTATCAGAGTGTGTACAATGAAGGCATTATACTGTCTGAATAATGATTGTAAAAAAAAAAAAAGAACGAAAAAGGATATATTTAAATATAAACATATGTTTTCAAATGACACTGTATTTCCGAATTCTGTCTGTAAGCACAACATATCAACCCTCTTTGATTCATGAAATGCCTGTCCTGTGCTAAACAGTCACTTTAAACTAAATGCCTGCCATGTGCCATGTACTAATCTTTTAAATGATTTGAGACACAGCCACCTGTGTGATGATGACACAAGAACCATAGAAAATATCTTAATATCTATATTCATAAATGTAAGGTTACAAGTATGTGTAAACAAAGTACCTATGCTACTTGCCTTTCTTCAGGAAAATACTTATTTATATGTTGGAATGTAATACTCACTAGTAAAAATAACTCTTATTTATAATTTTGAGAGCATCACCGTTGTTTTCAGTGGTTTAGCTGTCATTTTAACAGAAAGGCAGATCTCACTAAAGGCAGAATAAAACAGAATTATTATTCCAGATGGGCTGATCTCAGTCTGTGCAGAGGAAAACAAATTAGCCAGTCACATGATTTTAGCCAATTTATTGATGAGAAATTGTTGAGGTACACTGTGTGGTTGCACATGGGGATAGTGGGAGGAGTTTGGAAAACAACCACACTGAACAATGATAAAACATTCTTGTGGTTTTAACTGAGACTGAATGGGTACCTAAAAAAATAAACAATATTCCATTTTGTTCCAATGAACTGATCTGAAAATGCCAATATTTTTGTTTTCTTTCAAATACATGTATACATTACAGTATATATATATATATATGTTTTACTTACATGAAACAACCTATTTTAAAGTACAGGCCCTTATAGCGGTTCAGTGGAATCAGGGGTCAGACTTTTTTTTTTATTCTAAGAGAAGATGAACTGTCCTTCTCATCAAGGCTGAAAAAAAGTGAAATCCGTCAACAAGTTCAGAGTGAAAACAACGTTTGTGTTGTAAAGTTTGATGAGGTAATGCGAGATGGACTCTCGCTCTATCCGTCCAAATTAACCTGAGGTACACAAACATAACAAAGAAGCAGCAAGAATATGGTAGAGTATAAAGATACAAATGAAAACAAAAGGATAAAAACATGCTAATCAAAAAAGATCGGCAAAACCAAGTACTTCCAGTCCCGCACCAAACTGCGTTACATTTCCTCCAGTACACATACAACGGAAAAGCAAAGAAGACTTGTTACATATACAACATTTCATAATATAGCAGCACACAAGTGAATCACAATAAGGCATCTTTGTGTAAGACTAGAAAAGAAAAGCTTCATAGCAGCAAGAGAATGATGTGTATAATATAGTTTGTTCTCACTTTGGAATTATCTCTTTCAAATTATACACAAAACCTTTAGAAGCATAAACATGTTTTCTGTTTAAAGCACTTTTTTTGGAGAGAAAAAAACATTTGGCTTGTTGCACAACAGAACATGAATAGAATTTAGAAACTACATATCTTTTGTAAAATGTAAAGAGGACTTTTTAGCATTTGTGCTCAAGGGGAAATTGGTTATATAAAGACAAAAAGTTCAAACCATTGAAACCCCTACCTCCCCATGTCACTGTAACACTTCAGTTCAGAGAGAGGCTTACATAAAAAGAGTGAAACAGGAAAAAGAGAGAATATTTTGGACACAATATGCGTGTGACTCTTTGTAAGAACTATTGGAAGGTTTGGCTATGAATTAACATAAATTCAAGTAAGGTTAAATAAATGCAAATAATCAAAAAAAAGAAGTCTACAAGTGACTTGGCTTTCTTTAGTTGATATTCTATTAAACTATTACACAGATTATCCAACGTCTACTCACCTGTCGGGGCGTAGCTTTCAAGACAATGTGCGTTACCCCATGGGAATCCAGCCCAGAAAAAAAAATTAAAATAACTTAAAGAAAAAAAAACCCACTGAACGCTCCTCAACCACCATCCCCCTACCATACCTAAGGAGTGTGTCTTTAAAAGTGCATCAATATTTTTCCAAGTCGCCCACTCTCAAAAAAAGTTAATGGCGAAATTGATAAAAGGAGAATCTGCAGCTAGACTCATCTGAACCCCCCCACCAGGGGGTTTCCCACCTACTGTGTAGTCACTTGTCATGTGACTGCAAACATGACAAGTTCTTCTCGCCGAGTCGCTATCATTCATCAATCTAGACCTCTAGCATCCTCTTTCCATTCCACATGCGTTACTTTTCTTGAAAAACTTCCTTCAACCTGCATCCATTTCCTTCTCCATAAAACTTGCTAAATCTTATTTTCCTCTAGTAACATCAGTACGACCTAGCAGAGGTTAAAATCCCCCTCAAACCATCTACTAAACTCCAACGTGTAGGAGCTAGACTATGAACAATAACAATGTAGCCTCGCTGAATTATATGAACCTACTGTACTGGTCTGTGGATAAGCCAGTTAAATCAAGACCTTAATAACTGACCTGTGTGTTAACCTTTAACAGTAGCCCCTGCTCCAGACTCAAAGCCCCTCGTGTCCTTCCTCTGTGAGCAGGCCCAGCCCACTCCCGGCTAGCTATTCAGCATAAATAGAAAGCAGTGCTACAGGTGCACAGTATGATAGATAGAGCTCCTCTGATTGGATATCAGCTTAGTTTAAATGCCATGTACTGTATTATCAGCATTTAAAACTTTACTATGGGCGTTTCCCTGTACAGGGGAAGAAACCCCATACAAACTGAATTGATAACTGCTCACTATAAGATGATAAAAGAGTATCATAACTAAATGCTAGCTAGATATGCAATATTTATCATTTATTTCTACTAGGTTGTATCAAAAAAATAAGTATATTTCATATAATTATGCTGTTTTTTTTTCAAGTATGAAAATATATTCAGGTTTCCATTCAGGGAAACCTAAGGCACTATTAAGTTTTCCATTTTTTTTTTCTTACATAGCTTGTTTGGTTACATATCGCCCGTACAAAAGGTGAAAAGCACACCGGGTACAATGGGGCAAAAAAAGGAGAAAAACTAGGAATTTCTTATATTCTAAAAGTTCATCGATCGTCACACCATCGCTCATGTGGCGCCTTGATGTAGATACTGGCAGCTCATGCGCTCCTGTTAGTTTATCGGTAAACAGGCATGAGCGGTGCGTGAGAGTCGGGTGGAGTTCATAAGTTGACGTCGCGCACATCTGTGGGGGTGCTGGACTGGTCCTGCTGCTCCTTGGCCTTGCTGCCTGCTCGGATGCTGCTCTCCTGCTGCAGGCTGGTGGTCAGCACGCGCTCTATCTGCTCCTGGCACGCCCTCAAACAGTCCTGGAGCAAAAACGGTAGGACGTTGTTACACACACTTTAATTACACCATTGCTACTGTTCAGGGTCCAGGCACCTTTTGGTTGACTTTGTGCATTCATTTTTCTTGTCTTACCCCACTGCATGATATTCCTGTTCTTAAACTAGCTCAGCTACAAGAGTATAAAGCTGCCCAGAACCAAAATTTAAAAAAAACACGCAGGTGCCTATAAGAATTGTTTTATCTTTACTACCTCACTAAAAATAAGCGATTAAGCTTGTAACCTTATTATAATTCCGTTTTAATTTTAACTATCTCTTATAACTCATGTAGCTTGTGAATTGAATTTAGACTGGATTGCAAAACGAAGAGTTTAGGTTGTAAAAGTTGTCATTGAAAAATAAATGTTGAGTGTCTAGTCTACGTATGCCTTTATAATAAGCTTAAGTTTTAAAAATGCCTTTCAAAGAAAAAAAAGGTTATGGTCTACAGAAAAAAGTTAGATTGTGTCAAAGCCCAAATCATCGTAGTTTCTGTCTACATGAAATATTAATAAAGTGATGTCACTTTAAATAAATATACCCCCTGTATTCACCCATTAAAAGGGTGTTTAATCTGTACACCCGTCTGTGGACCCTGGCGTGCAAAAACCTGGTTTTTGATGTGCGAATTGTTCAACAGCTTTGGTCACATGCATGGCATACCAGCAGGGAATTATGCGAGTTGAGGTAGGTGGTCCTGTCTGCACCAGGGCCAGAACAATGGTACCAGCACCCTGCAATACCAACACACTGCAGCAAGTCCTCTCTGACACGGGACCTGTGCATGTCTGAGGCACCAATACAGAGGGAATGTGAAGGGGGCACTACTTCTGTGGTCTGTCCGGGAACAGATAAGCAGATCTGGTAGCCCCCCCTCACCCCCCTTTGGGTTTAAAGCACGGTCAGCCCCATGTGGAGGTCTAGAGGAAATGGCTTTGACCTTCTGCACCCTGAACCTCTGAGATTTGGTGTAAAACAGAATATAGGACAGTGGGGCCGGATGTTTTTGGACAACTTCTCCAGTGAAAGGGGATCCTCTGTGTCTGTGCCCCTCCGCAGGTCTGGAGGAACATGTGGGAGGTCTGCTCACTGAGCCGGCTGCAGGACTCTTTAAAGACTGAACCGAGGCTCGCAAAGAGGCCCGCATTCCTTTGAAATGTACGAATAATTGGAACCCCATGGGCTGCAGTCGGAGTGCCTGTTGTGACGGCCGGGTTTGCGGGGTGCTCGTCACCGTGGCAACGTAACCACAAGCTAAGAGGTGCACCGTGTTGTTCCTGTGGCCCATTGGCTGCGGTCTGTTTGGATTTCTACGCTTCTGAACTGGTTTGCTGGTGTAACAAGGACTCACTGTGGCAATGAAAGCACACACTTGGATGTTGGTATAGTATTTTTTTTTAAGATCGTTTGATGTGTCAAATGACTTTGTCTGCAGTTTCTTTTCTTAGCAATTATAATGTATTATTTAAAAATCGGTTGCTATGGATATTACAGTATACTGTACAAACTCCAATAAAATCTCCAAAAAGTTATTATTGGATATCGATTACCAGTACCAAAATTCATTAGGGTGACATTTAAAGT